CTAACCACAACAGCACATGAGGTCTCACACCATTGGCCATGATGGCAAAGAGTTCTAGGTCCTAAAGCACCAAATATGAGGGGATCTAGCTTCTCCCCCCCACCAGTCTATCAGAGGGGTGCAAAATATCAGGGCCAAATCCAGCCCAGTTCCCAGAAGGCACCATTCCCTTTCCTGAACCACTGTTCATTTGACAGTTTCTGTGACTTTGCAGTTTTTCCCGATTCTAAAAGGTTGAAATGCTTCTTCTAAGACTTGGTTATTGGTTGTCAGAGCTTTAAGCTAAAATCTGTCAGTTCTTGGTTCTTCGTCCTGTGCTTCTGTCCTGCTCATCACTGGATGCAGCCTCTGTGTGCTCCTCGGAAACTGAATTTGGCTCTGAGGGTGAACACCAACTCGCAGCACTGCTCCTGTGGTCCATGCAGGGATCTTTCGGGGTCCCACCTGGAGATGCCAGAGATGAAACCATGACAGTGCACAAGCGAATCATGCATCCCACCACTGAGCCATGTGCCTTTCCCTCTTCCGTGTCGAGCTTGAACACTGCGAACATCTGCATACAATTTCTTTCTCATCTGGTGTTTTCCAGTGTGATACTAACAACACCCCCATGTACCTGCACAGAGTACTTTTTCTGTATGTCTTGTAAAATCCCTGCTGATCCAGTGCCATTTACCTGAAAATCCAGACATTTACCCCTGTGATTGCCTAATTTAGCTGTGTTTATCCTAATTACTCTAATTGCTTCACCATGGGATTCACAAGAAATGGCAAACTCTGATACCACCTAATTGCACCTGTTATATTAATTCATTAATTGCACATGGTTCCGGACTCTTCTTTTTCTACTGAAGCAAATGCTAAAATTAACTTCTGCAAATCAGAATTGAAAACTAACAAATCAAAGACTGTTTTTTTCCTTATATAAAAAATAATACCTTTGGGCATTAATTAAACCCAGAATTGGTTCAGTTACTCATGCACTGGTTACATCTAGATTAAACTGTTCTAACACATTCTACACAGGGCTTTAGAAATAATTTGGAAACATCAGGTTGTTCCACATGCAGCTCCTAGCATTATTGTAAGGGTAAGGTATTAAGATGATATTCCCAGTTACACCAGCTACCTGTGCATTTCCAGGATCAATTCAAAGTGCTACTGCAAACAGGCCTGACCAGCGTGGGACCAAATTCTCTGAACAACTGCTGCACACAGAAAGAACTGCCCAGGCCTTGATCTTCTGAGGTCAGCTGTTTGGCCTGCTGTCTAGAACATCAGACTGGTGTATACCAAAGCATGGCCCTTTCACGGGTGGCCCCATGAAGCAGGGATGAGGAACCCATGCCTGTTGATCTGCAGTTCCATCAGCCTTCGCCATTGGCTGTGCTGATGAAGCTGCAGTCTGAATGCATCTGGAGGGTCACATGGTCCACATCTTTGCCCTTGGGGGATAAAAAGGCTGCCATTTGCAGTTTCCTTTAAGCAGACTTTGAAAACTTTCTCAATTCAGTCTGCTTTTGACCCAGGTGTTGCATGGTGGGGGTGTCTGTTGTGTGCATGTGTGTTTTAGTTAGTGTTTTACACTATGACATTTACTGAAATCATTTGATGTTGATTTCTTAAAGCTTTTGGAACCTTCTTCAAAACTGCCGTGGGCAGATTTGGGTTAGGGTTGAAGAAATTAAAGTAACTCAAGTAATTAAAATGTAGGCAATTAAAGTAGAGAAAAGATGTAACACCACCGCCACCCTTTCCCTGATGACAAAATAGTGCATTAGCTTTGACAAGATTTCAGAGAAATGGGTAAAAATCGACAAGTTGTTGATATATTAAAAAAGAAAATAAGCAAAGGCAAGTTTGGCAAGGGTGGATGATGCTGATGCTGATACTGACGACGACGATGATGATGATACCTGTTCTGGATGAGGTTGAGTTTCCCTTGAAGGAGCAAGGTCCATCTTAGTCATCTCTGGCTGTTAAAGCTCAGACAGCTTCAGTGGGACGTAGTGGTTCTACCAGTTGGTGACCCCATGGCACCCAATCTGGACAGGAATACCCTGGTTTCAGTCATCTGCTTCTGGTGATCTTCAAGTGAGATTACTATTTTTTGTTGTTATGTTGTTATGGAATTGTCTCTGAGTTATGGCGACCTCATGATTTATTTGACTGTCCTCAAAAATGCCCTGTCCTTCATAGCCCTGCTAAGCACCTATAAACTAGGTTACTGTAGTGTCACTGTCCTTGAACCCTGCAAGATTTTGCACGAGTGTGCAGCTTGCATAAAATGCAGCGGCCAGACTAATCACTGAGACCAGAAGGTCCACACATGTGCCTGTGCGTCCCGCCTGGTTGCATTGACTACCTGTATATTTCTGAGCCTGATCAAAGGTGCTGGGTGTAACCATGCAGGACTTAGGGCTGTAATACCTAAGCTGTTGAAGCACCTCTCCCAACCTATACCTACTCAGATTCAGTATGAGAGAACTTTCTCCAAGCACCAGCTCCAAGGGAGGCTCAGGGTGTGGCATGAAATAAGAGGGCCTTCTCAGTGGTGCCCCCCAATTATGAAAAATTATCCCCTCTGAAGCCTGCCTGGTTCCAACTGTTATCCTTTCAGTGCCAGGTTAACTACCTTTTATGCTGAAACGCTGAGTGCCATTTATGGCCTTTCATGGAATACAGGGGACTTATAGGGTTTTTTTCCCCACAGGTCTTGTCTTAGTAGTTCCAGGCTGCGATCCAGTGCGATTGCCTATAAATCTGCAAAACAGGAAGGTTACTGGCATCCCATGTAAAGTGGGGAGAGCATGAAGGCTATGTCCACACTCCCTCTGCCCTCTAAAACATTTAGATGGCTGAGCTGGGCCATCTAATGGATGCAAAACATGGAGATGGAGGAGAGCTTTGCAAATATCCTCAACTGACAGAAAGACTAAGTGGGTCCTAGAGTAAATCAAGCCAGAAGCAAAAACGACAACACTGAGGCTGTCATACATTGTGAGAAGGCAAGACTCTCTGGAGAAGACAATCATGCTAGGCAAAGTAGAAGGCAGAGGAAGAAAAGGAAGGCCAAGTGTAAGATGGACTGCTTCCTTAAAGGAAGCCGCAGCCTGGACTTCGCAAGAGCTGAGCTAGACTGTCAGGGATAGGACAGGCTTTCATTCACAAAGTCACTGTAAGCTGAAGACAACTTGACAGCACATAACAGGAGACCAGGATTCTTCTGAAGATGGCAGGGTCTTGCCCTTCTCTTCCCCACCACCCCATGTGTGGGGGCTTCAAAGCCCATCTTCCATCTTCAAAGCCCAGCGAGCGAGGAGAGAACTACATTGAGGCTGGAGGCAGAGTTCTCCTGAGGTCACAGCTGGGATTCCACCCTATTCCCTGACAAGTTGGAAAGCCATATGATTATGCCCAGAACTGTTTTACTTTGTTTTATTTTCTGCATTTAATTCTTCAGCTGTTTTTATTGTATTTCTACCACATGAATTGTTGTTAACTGCCAAGGCTATTGAGCAATTGAGCAATACAGAAGTGAAACTAGCTCTACTAATAATAACACTATGACAGTGAAATGCTCTTTCCCCTGGTTAGTCCTTCTGCAAGTCTGCATTACTGAGCACCAAGCTGCTTCTGGGGTAATGGAATTTGTACGTCGGTTTTAATCAGCATCAATTGTTTATTGTTGTTTGGTGGGTTTTGCTCTAGCTGAAAATACTAAATTTCCAATCAGCATTCAGCTCATGTTTTCGTTTTGCACCCCTTGGCAATCAGCAGACTGATAGGAGAAAACTCTGCTTTCCATTGATGTCATGTCAAAAATGTGTCACGGAGGGTATCTGAGCAAGAAAGGGAGACGTGCATTAGCAAGGGGCATGAGATACGAGCCCAGGTTGTCCTACAGCGTTTCCAGACAAGGCTTTGATTGTGCAATCCTCTTGCATGTTCACAGAATTTTAGAGGGCCCAGATGACTTTGTCTTCAGTTTTTAGTGTCTCCCCCCCCCCCCCCCCCCGGTTGCCCACTGCAGCTTGCACCCTTAACACACACACACACATTGAGAGAGAGAGACAGACAGACCATTAGAGAAAGGGAAAGGAAATAGCTGTGCATGCCTTTGATTGCTAGCACTAGGGACCTTTCACCTAGAAGCACCCCCAGAGCGAAGATCAAGAAGAAAAGGCGCGTTGACTGTGGGGCCCCCCAGGGCCAGCGACATGGCTGGGCGTCTGCCAAGAGCTGGGCTGGCCGCTCTCTTCACTGCAACCTGCCTCTTGCTCTAGCCCAGACAACGGAGCTCTCCCCCTGTCAAGCTAGCAAGGGGATCCAGAGGAAACGCTACTTTGTGGTTTTCAGCTTAATTTCTCCACCCGCGCTTTTTTTATAGCTACATCGTAGCGGTCTTCTTCGTGTGTGCGCAAAGCGTGCTGGGAATGCCATCTGGAGGGTGGCATGCACAGGAGTTGTACATAAAGAAGCCGAGTGAGAAGGCCTGCAAGAAGCGGCCAGCGAGCCCCGTGGGAACTGGCGGGACGCTTGCCTAGCGGCCTCCCTCTTCCTTCGAGGGACGGGTTTCCCGGACAGGCGACGCCGCGGCGGCCTGCCCCGCTCGTGCAAACAGATGCGCGGGGGTCACGCGCAGCTCGATCGCTCCCGCTCGCTCCGCCGCTGAGCTGTTTCTCGCCCACGTGCGCTTCACTTCCTGCTACGCCGCCCCCCCCCCCGCCCCCGCAGCTCCCTGCCCGAAGTTTTTCTTCCCCCCTTAAGTCATACATCCTGGGCACTGAACCGTTTTTTCTCAGCAGACGGGCCCCTTTAGAGGAACACGCGCATTGTGTGTTGAATATGTATAGTACTGTGCATTGCATGCGTTGAATATGTATTAGCATATGCAAATCCATGCTCCTCGCTCTTTCTCTTTGCCCTTTGGACTGAACTTGGGTCTTCCCCGTAGCTAGCGCCGCCCCTGCTCCAAAGCAAGGGCCCTGTTCCACCAGGACCCGATTTACCGAGGGGGGTTGGCGATCCCGATCCTCCTGCGCTTACGCTAGAGTAACAAGAAGAAAAACCGAAAGGAAGACACAGCGGCTCGACGAATCCGTGCCCCGGCCGTGGCCAGCAGCGCCTGCGGAGGCTCACGAGAGGTCCTGAGGCTGACCCGCCCAGGCAAAGGCGCAGCCCCGCGGGGGAAGGAAGGAGAGTTTCGGGCGGCGGGCGAGGGGAGGCGCCGACCCCAACCTCGGCTGCCGGGGCCGGTCCTCTTCCACCTGTGACACGTGGCGAGGGCGGGCCTGGGGAGCGATTTAAGCCCGGCGCGAAGGGCGGCCTCCCTCCGCCCTTGCTCGCCTTCCTCGGCGCCGTCGCTGCCCGCCCATGCCAGGAGTCTCGGGGCGGGCGGCCGTTCCGCGCGGAGCCATGGCGCGCAGCCTCCTCGCTCTCTCGCTGCTGCTGCTGCTGCAGCTGCAGCTCCGGCCGTGCTCGGCCGACACCCCGGCCAACTGCACGTTCGCGGACCTGGAGGGCACCTGGGTCTTCCAGGTGGGCCGGGGGCGAGGCTACCCGTCCCGGTACATTAACTGTTCGGAAGTGGGTAAGTCCGGCGGGCAGAGCCCTTCCGCGCGCCGCGTCTCTGCTCACCTGTGGCCCGTACCCCTTGGCCTCCTCTCGCTTCTTCTCTTCTCTTGCAATCAGCCTCTTTTCCAGAAGAACCCCCCATCCCCGACACACACACACACGGGCGCCGAAAGTGACAACTGGCGCAGCCTAGCCTTGATACCAGCTCTGTCCTTGGAAGGAAAGAGCTCAGTGCTGGAAAGAGGTTCCTAGTCCCTAGTGATTTTTAGTCTTCGGAATCTCCACCAACACTCTGGCCACAGACCCGACCCTGTCACCCCATGTCACAAAACAGCAGTTGGGGCAATGCCTTGGTCAGGATGCAGAAAAATGCATCCTGGTGCAAGTTTTTCCTGCCCACTGAATCAGTGGGCTATGATACTATTTGGCAAACCAGCCCGGGGTCTTAAGTACTGCTATCTTTCTTGACTAGGCCAATGTCCTATCTAAGCCCACCTCTATTTTTCCTTTGTTTTAAAAAGAGAGAGGACCAGCCAGTTCCCTGTGATTTTCCCTTCCCACCAACCACCGCCAAGTATCTGATTTTCAGAGGCTTCCTGAATCTCTCCACGGAGGCTCATTTCTGTCCAATGATTAATAGCGATGATTTCTTATTATAGCGTTGTGACTGGGGTATACAGTGATCCCAGCAACCAGCAGGTAGTTGCATTTGTATATTACAAGTATAGAAGCTACACTAATTTCAAGTTTTATTTATGTTTTACATTTGTATACCTCCCAATAGCCAAACCTCTCTGGGCAGTTTGCAACAATTAAAGTCATAAAATACAATGCAATCAACGTAACATATAAAAGTTTAAAATCTCGATGTAAAATAAGAAATGAGCTGGCAGCAGTGCAAAGATTTAAAACAGGGAAATGGATTTCAAATTGAAACTGAAACAAGGTCACAGTATTTCCATGCTTTGCGGCGGGGCATGCGCACCTACTGCTATTGTCGTACTCTTTTTCCTGCTTCTGGGACTGTTTGACAATCTTTAGAGTGCCCTACAAGTCACACCTTTTTTGCTTCTTGTTTTTACAAAAGCTTTTGCTTTTGTAGGCTCACTTGACTGTTGGGACGCTCAGAGCCCTAATTTGATCCAGGGTGGGGTGAGAAAGACAATCGAAAATTCTACTTCCTTTTTTTAATGTTGCACTACTCCATTCAAACTCAAAATATTTCAGATTAAAGGAAGCAGCTTTCTGGACAAAATCTGTTTCTTCCAGGTAAATTTACAGTTCATGTAGGAGAGCCACTAAGAGTAATCACTGCAAAAGAGGACAAAAGAGCATAGTGACTTGTATACAAGGGGGATGTGCCAACTTATACAGAGAGATGCAAAGCTAGAAAACTTTATTATAACTTAAATGGAAATAGAGTACAACTGCCCATCCAGTGCATGGTTGTCTGCAGGTGGCCAGTGTCCCTTGCTCAGCCTACTGTCCAGGTCGCGCTCATGGGCAGCTTCAATGCCCATCTTTTCATTTGGACGGATATTTGTCTTTAAACTGGACTTGACGCAGGCAGGCCTTCGAACAGACCAGCTCTCTCCAACCTGGCACTGACCAGGTGGCTTGGACGTCCTCTCCCACTACCCCAGTCCTGCCAGTGCTCTGGAATGTTGGGAGTCGCAGTGCAAGGCTAGAAGAGAGGATGTCTTTTAAGAGAGGACTGTCCTTTATAAAGGGGGACACATGGCCACTGTGCATCTTTGTACGTCGCATCAAAGCCTCCTGCATGAGGGGTCCCAGCTCACATGATGGGAAAGAATTGGTGGGGAGTAACGGTCAGATCAATCCATAGCCCCTGGATACTCAGTCCCTCTCACTGTTTCACTGGCTGTGAATGGAGACACGCTTGCTCCCAATGGCAGGCACATATTTTCAGAGCTGTGGAGAAAATCATACTTTTCATATGCTCAGAGGCCATGTGACTGTTCCATGTCTTCAAAGGAAGCCCTAAGAGATAGGATAGGCAGGGCAGAACAGAACCATGGGCAAATGTGGCAGGATGCCTTCTACCCACACGGGGAGCACTTTGGCTCTGTGGTGGAGAACCTGAAGAGCAGCCATGCTGGGTCAGGCCAGGGGCCCATCTAGTCCAGCGTGCAGTCCACCCGGTGGCCAACCAGCTGTCCATGGGAAGCCACCAGGAGGACATCTGCACCCTCCACCCCAGTTCCTCCGCAACTGCTGTGCATGGACACGCTGCCTCTGATACTGCAGGGGGCTTATGTCCTCTCGGGACTAGTAGCCACTGCAGCCAGAATGTCCCAGGTTCAGTCTGTGGCATTTCCAGGTCAGAGCAAGAAAAATGGCCGCCAGGAGGGCCACTGCCAGACGGTACTGAGAATCCTGCACCAGATGGACCAAGGTTCTGACACTGTGTACTGTGCTGAAGCTGCTGTTCCCCCCAGCGGGCGCAATGGGCTGCTGACGGACCCAAGGGTGGTCCAGCCTAGAATTAACCATTCTTCTCTAGCAGGATTGCTGTGGTATGAGGTTGTCCCCCTTCCCTGTCTATGCAGCTATCTCAGGCAAAGGAGTTCTGTTGTTGTTCTATGCCATCAAGGGCTGACCCCATGAGTGAAAACTCTCCAAATTGTCCTGTTCATGACGGCCCCGCTCCACGCTTCTAAGTACAGGAGTTCTACTAGGGGGATAATGTTGGCAGCTCTACCGAATGCAGAAGTGAGAACCTACAAGACAGTTCTGGACAGGAGAATAAACTACCTTCCGGTAGGGTTTAACTGGCATCAGAGGAGAGTTGGCAGAAGGAGATAGAAGGGTGTTAGATGAGATAGAAGGAGAATAGATGGGGTGGATTGGTCTGGAAATTGGATATCTTGGTCTGAAGGTTCACTCCATTCTGGGGAAACTTGGCCCAGTTGGGAGCTTCTTAGCTTAACAACAGCTGTGCTGCTTGGTGAACAACACCAAGGTTACCTGAAGGAGCACTTACGTCCATATATGCCCAGCCGCCCCTTGAGATCAGCAGGAGAGGCCCTCCTCTGGGAGCCCTCAGTGAAGGAAATTAGGAGGGTGGCTACTCGAAGGAGGGCCTTCTCTGCAGTGGTGCCCCATCTATGGAATGCGCTCCCCAGAGAGGTCCGCCTGGCGCCGTCGTTACTTGTTTTTCGGCGCCAGGCGAAGACCTTTTTATTTAAGCAGCATTTTAAATGTTAATATTATTGAATTTTATTCGGCCAGGGTGGCTTATTTTATTTTACTGTATATATTTTAATTGTTATTGTTTTAATGTATTTTGTATTTGATGTTGTAAGCCGCCCCGAGGCCTTGGCAAGGGGCGGCATAGAAATGTTTTAATAAATAAATAAA